GGGGGAGAGGGGGATGGGGGGTGGATCTTAATGGACGGGTGGTCTGCACGGCCCGGCCGGGCTCAGCTCGGCTCGGCTCGGCCTCCCGGCCCCGTCGAGTGACGGACTCTGCAGTCTGGCGACGATGACGTCTTAGCAGGAGCAGCCAGCCGGTCTCTTGAGGACCCCCGGGCCGGCGGAGAGGGGAGGGCGGGAGAAGAGTCTTGAGTTGCTGCTCTCCCGCGTCCCCAGCTATACACTGTTGGCGCCTTCCAACATAATCGGAAATAATACAACACGATTCCCCCGATTGTTCATACTACAATTTCAGCACAACATGTGTTTCGTCTCCCTCTCTACGCCACCGAAAGATAGCGCGGGCTTTGGCTGGGTGAAAGAGGCCGGATCGGTGTGTCGTTGTCGTACGTCGTTTTACGACGGTGGTCGGCCACATTTACGGTGCTGTAACGCCCGCGGCGTGTTGGCGCTTCGCGGCGGCGGAGCGCGCGTGTGGCTAACTAATTGCAGTATCGGTACTGTAACCACCTGGCCGGGACGGGCCGGGACGGGCCTCGGGCTCGCTTATGATGGTGCCTCGCTTCGCTTCCCGGCTGCTGGGCGCTACGCTACGCCACGCTCGCGGCCGCACATAAAACTTGCAAGGCGTGCGGCAGATCCCGTTGCTGCTGCTGCAGCAGCATCCCCAGCTGAGCTGCCCGCCGCGAGCGCGAGCAGGCCGTTAAAAGATAATGAAACGAAAACAGAAATAACGGCCTCCTGGGCTAATTCTTCCATCCTTTCATCCATCCATCCATCCATCCGTCCGTCCGTCCGTCCGTCCATCCATCCATCCTTTCATCCATCCATCCATTCATCCATCCGTCCATCCATCCATCCTTCCTTCCATCCGTTCGTCCGTCCGTCCATCCATCCATCCTTTCATCCATCCATCCATCCATCCGTCCGTCCGTCCGTCCATCCATCCATCCTTTCATGCATCCATCCATTCATCCATCCGTCCATCCATCCATCCTTCCAACCATCCATCCATCCATCCATCCATCCATCCATCCGTCCGTCCGTCCGTCCATCCATCCATCCTTTCATCCATCCATCCATCCATCCATCCTTCCAACCATCCATCCATCCATCCATCCATCCATCCATCCATCCATCCATCCATCCGTCCATCCATCCGGCCATCCATCCATCCGACCATTCCGCTGAGCCCAGCCCAGCCCGCACAACAGCCAGCTCGCCAGCCCTCATCCCTTTCTGCCCCGTTGAGTCATCGCTGTTATGTCAACATACTTTTGCTGTTTAACAATGCCAGGCCACCCCCTCCTCCCTCTCGCCTCCCATTCCTAGCAGCCTATGGATGGTGGAACCTCTTCAGCCAGCGCGTACAGCTCCCCCTCGCCAGTCGCCCCCGCCCCCTCCCGCCCCTGGAAGCATAAAGTGTCTGTACACATAGCGTCGCGCCGGGGCCGGGCCGCGGGACGACCCAGTACTGAGAGAGGAATCTCTTCTTTCGACCGAACACTCTGTCTCTGTCTCTCTCTCTCTCCCTCTCCCTCTCTCTCCTTCTCTCTCCTTCTCTCTCTCTCTCTTCCCCTCTACCTACCCGTCCCGTCTATTCCCTTTCCGCCGCTCCCGCTCCCACTGTTTCGGGCGAAAGCTCGCAATCTTGCGCCTAGTCACGCGTGGCGGGCAGGAGGGGCTCGGCATGACAGAACAGCGAGCAGCGAGCAGCCCGGGCGCAGCGAGCCGAGCCGCGACCCGGGCGCCCGCGAGCCGGGGATAGGCCACGCGCTGAGGAGGCGGCCGGGGCGGGTGGCCTACCCTGGCGTCCGCGGGCGCCGTGGTGGCGGGCCTCGCGCGCTGTGCCTGGCGCTGTGCCTACCCCCTGCTCCCCCACCCGCTCCCCTGAGCGCCGCTATGCCGCCGTGGCGACGTGGACCTGCGCCGTGGTGCGGCTGGCTAGTTTGCAAAGGCGGCACTGTAAAAAATATCGTCGTAAATTTACAAAATTTTCGTAAACTCGAATTATAATTTAAGTTGTAAATTTACAAGAGCCCTTTTTTTTACTCGCCAATTGATTTGAAGTCGATACGTACTGCATGTATTTTTACGATTACAAATTGTAATTTTTACAATAACTTGCGTCCAGGAGAATTTTCCTGTAAACCGGGGGGTAGAAACGGAGCGCTCAGGCCGCACACCATGCGCGTCCTGGGCCGCGCGCCCACTATTTTTTACAGTGGGAGCAGAGCGCTCTGCTAGCAGGAGAGTCGCGATGTGTGACGAAAATAACGTCTTTGTTTCTGTTTTTTCTCGCAGGCCGTGTTCTCGCGGGTGGCGCGTGTCTGCAAGCGGGACAGCGGCGGTCCCCACAACTTCCGGAACCGGTGGACGTCGTTCCTCAAGGCGCGGCTCAACTGCTCCGTGCCCGGCGACTTCCCCTTCTACTTCAACGAGATGCGTAAGTGCGCCTGTTTGCAAGTAATTTCATCCACTAAGGTGGATGGTCGCAATGGGGGACTTGACGTGTGAACATTCGCGCCTGGAGCTGCATACGAAGCGAGGGCTTGCGCCCGCGTGCCGCCTTGGCTCGAATATTCTTGTCGGTATTTTTAAAAGCCGTTCTTGGACCGAGTCCTAGCTGCTGCCTCCGGTCCTCCGGCGTCCTCCGGAACCTCCCGCGGGGGAAGGGGAGGGCAGGGTAGGGGGTGTTTCCGGGCGGCCTCCGGTCGGGGCGGGTCTTACGCTGCCTCGGCCGCACCGCCCATGTGACTCGCTCGGGGAGGGAGGAGGGGGAGGGGGGAAGGGGCGGGGAAGGAAGGGGGTGAAAAATTCAGCTCGTGCCAACAAAGTTCTCCTTACCCCTTTTCCACTCCTCTGCCCGCTGCTCGCAAATGTGGTCAGTTAACCGGGCTGGAGCAGTGGGGATTGGAGGGGGGGGGGGCGAGAAAGGGAGAGTCCGTTTTAATTCACCGCTTGCTCCTTCTGCAGAGTCGACCACGGACATGATCTCGGGCGTGTACGGCGGCAACCACTCGCAGCTCATGTACGGCGTGTTCACGACGCCCGTCAACAGCATCTCGGGCTCGGCCGTGTGCGCCTTCTCGCTCAGGGACATCAACAAGGCCTTCGAGAGCTCGTTCAAGGAGCAGGCCGAGATGAACGCCAACTGGCTGCCGGTGCCGCCCAACAAGGTGCCGGACCCGCGGCCCGGGCAGTGCGTCAACGACTCCCGGACCCTCCCCGACCTGACGCTCAACTTCATCAAGACCCACTCGCTGATGGATGGGTCCGTGGCGTCCTTCTTCAGGCAACCCGTCGTCATCAGGACTAGCTTCAAGTGAGTTGATTGTGTAGACTTGGCTGGATTGTGTCCTCCATGGCCCAGCGCTGATCGGTGCCTGACAACGCTGTTCTTTCTTTTCTCCCGCAGCTACCGCTTCACGCAGATCGCTGTGGACCCGCAGGTGAAGACCCCCGGCGGGAAGGCGTACGACGTTCTGTTCATCGGCACAGGTGCGTATTGCGGACTGCGTCCGTGTCTTGTCTCTGTCTCCGCTTTTTGCGACCTCCTGACCCTCATTTTTTTGGGACTTTCCCCGACAGACAACGGCAAGGTGATCAAGGCCGTGAACGCGGACGCGGCCGACACGACGACGCGCGTCAGCCCCGTGGTCATCGAGGAGATGCAAGTGTTCCCGTCGCACATCCGGATCCGGAACGTGCGCGTCGTCAAGGCGGGCGAGGGCGGCGTGACGGACGGCCGGCTCGTCGTGGTCTCGGACGGCGAGGTGCAGGCGCTGCGGCTGCACCGCTGCTACTCGGACAAGATCCTGTCGTGCGCCGAGTGCGTGGCTCTGCAGGACCCGTACTGCGCCTGGGACAAGCAGTCGGGCCGGTGTCTGGCGCAGAGCGCGCTGGGCGCGGGCCAGGCCGCCAAGCGCTGGGCCGATGACAAGCAGTTCTACCAGAGCATCGCGACGGGCAGCCACCCGGGCTGCCCGGCCAGCAAGGCGGCCTCCACGCGCCACAGCGACCGGCAGCACGGCGACGCGCCGAGCGCCAGCTCCACGCACACCTCGCACAAGACGTACCACAACCCGGACTCGAGGCAGGCCGGCAAGGAGGGCGACGGCGACGGCGAGGTCATCAACATCACCCAGGGCACCGACTCGGGTACGTGCTCACACTCTCAACACAATACGTTGACAGGGATATAACTTTTACGGCCGAGGTCGAAAGCACTTTGTCGTCAACACTCTGCCGTTAAGTGTTCGCGCGTGGTGGACATCCGAATGTATCTTTGTCAACAATGCTTGTCCTGTGCAGGCCCCGAGGTGAGCGCGGCGGACTCGCTCATCCCGCAGTACTCCGTCGAGACGCTCGCCATCGCCGTGGTCGCGGGCGCCGCGGCCGCGCTGCTCATTGGCTTCGCCATGGGCTACCTGTGCGGCCGCAAGTGCAAGAAGGACGACGACGACAACCTGCCCTACCCCGACACGGAGTACGAGTACTTCGAGCAGCGGCAGAACGTCAACAGGTACCCGACCCTCGATCCGGCCAAGGACCCTAGCACCACTTTCCGCTCCAGGTGCCTGGCCCATTCTGGCAAGTGCCCTTAGTCCTGTTTTCTAAGATCTGCCAGTATTCTAACTCGTGTCTCTCTTTCGACAGTCGGCTCACTGCAGAACCAAAACTGTTGCCCCAGGAGGAGGTGACGTACGCAGAGCCTCTGCACCTCCCAACGGCCAATAGCAAGTCGTTAAATTCCCCCAAAAGTACGTTAAGAAAAGTGCAGCAGCACGCCAACAGCACTGCTGCCCAAGAGACGCTCTTCCAGTTCCCAGAGGCGTACGCTCCTCCGAGCTACGCTCAGCAGGTGAGGAATCAGGGACTAACAACTCTCTTAGGCTATAGCCTTGAACTAATCGTTGGCTACCTTGGAGATCATCCAGAAAGTACGTCCGTCAATCGCCGTTTCGAACCTCTTAAGTTCAGCCTATGCAAGGTCCCATAGCGCCTGTTGTGTAGGCCACATCCTGCCTGATGTGTAGGCGTGTACTGCGGGGTGGCCTGCCCCGAGGCTCGCAGGCGCCGAGCTCCCGTATTTTGTCGAAGGAATCCGAGAAAAACGGACGTACTTTCTGGACGATGCCTTGTGACGTAATCTGTACTGTATAAGTCATAGACGCTATTGCTCGACTTAAACACTCTCCCCATCTCTGCCACAGCGAATGCCCCGGGATAACTTCGGCACGCTGCGGTCCCATCACGACGGCTTCGGGACCACCAGGAGTGTGAAAAAGGTGTACCTCTGAGACTCCGCGGGGGAGGAGGAGCACGGCCATGACCTCGGTCACCACACCCGCCACGGCAGGCACCAGCCGCGCCCGGGTCATGGCACGCACCGCAGCCAGGGAGGCTCTCGCCGGCCGCGGGGGGCGCACCCCCTCGCCACCAGCAGCCCGCCCTCCAGCGCCTCCTCCTCCTCCCCCTCGCCGCCCTCCTCCTCGCCCTCCCCGCCGCCCAACGACCCCGGGCCGGGGCAGGGGCAGGGGGTGGGGATGCCGCCCTGCAGCTACATCTACAGGACCTAGCAGCTGAGCAGCAACACTCCGTCCGTGGGGCGCTCGACCACCCGCCTGGACTCGCTCAGTGTGGAGACGCTGTGCTCCCACTGGCGGCCCCCTGCCTCGGCCCCGGGTCCTGGTGGGGCCACCGGCCTCGCAGGGCCCTCTGGCATGGCGTCTGGCATGGCCCCAGGGTGCCTCTCGGATTATAGATGAGCCCCTGGCCCGTGCCCCCCGTCGGCGGGGAGCTCCACAAGTCAAGTGGACGACCTGGTTGCATGGCCACTATTTTGTTTGGTAGCCCCGGGTTGCCCAGCTTCGCCACGGACCATTTGAAAGCCCCCTCCCCCCTCCTTTGCGAAGCTTTAGGTGGGGTGACGGTGTGTTGCTAGTTGTCTCTCTGGAAGAAGACAACGTCATAGGCTGCTCATAGGCTGGGCGCCAAACTTGCTCCCAAGGACTGCTGTGATTTGGAAATTCCATGTTAGCAGAAAACTGTGAACCTTACCAATGTTTTTACAAATGCGAACGAACAATTGATGACAGCACTTCAGCATTGCTCAAGAAGATCTGCTTATTTTTTCTCTCTTAATCTCATTCAAGTCTTATTGTTTGGTTTCGGTTTATTGTATAATTCTGCATAGTGTTCAGTATGTGAGAACTTTCATTGATGACATCTTACAGGTATTGCCACCGTTGGTACCTTAACCTTAATCTTTAACAGACCTCAGTATTTTTTTTTCTTCCTTGAAGATAAGATCATCGCTGTAATGAGGTGCCTACTCAACTGTGATTTTCTTAAAGTCATATTTATTGTTGGATAATTGTTATAAAGAAAGACGTTGTGGGGATTTCAGGGTTTTGCTGTTGCCAAGCTATGTTGACCATGAACAAACTTTTAAAGATTATAGTTTGCAAAAAAAAAGTAAGTTTTTACCTGCTACTTGTAGTAATCTACATACTTAGTTTAGATGGTATTCCATAAAATTCATTTAAAAGCAATACATATGTTTAGAAAAATATTGTGTTTGTAAACATAAGAGTTGTCAATGAGTAAAAGGTGAATAGGGTATTAATTCAGTTAGAGTAGGCACCTTTTTTAATCCTTTCCGTGCTTTTTATTTTAAATAAGTTTAGTAGTTCTCTGCCCTCCTGGACTGGATCAACAAGTATTATGGTCATTCTTAGAATTTTGTACTACATCCCTTCCATACCACTTACACATTGAAAGTGATGATTAGATTTACTCTTTCTGAAATGTGCGAATGACATTGAATCACTGTTCATGTATATAAGTAAATGTTGTCAATAATTCACATCCTTTTCAGATCTTTGTTGGATCAGGAAGAGTTGCAAGTAGGGTCAATCTTTCTTTGATTTACATTATTCTTTTGTACCAATTTTTCATCCATTCATATGTTTTTTTTCTTAATGCCTTGACTTCAGGTGTGTCAGTAATATTGCCACACTGTGATATTTTTGTGTTATTAATGACATATTTTAAACAAAGGACATTTTAAAAATGTTGTTAAAGTTGGAGTGAGATAATAAGCTACTCAATAGAAGACTGAAGTTGTTTACCACATTCCAACATGGGCAGTGCAAAGATTGTGCACCATAGCTTATTCAGGCTTCAACCAAAGATGATGTTGTGAAGACTTGCTGCAAACAATGTGGCACCAATTAATTTTTTTCAATTATCACAATGTGCATTTTCTGAATTATGTACTGTTTAAAAAAGCTTTGTGACCATCTTTGAATTTTGATATCTGTTCAAGGAAAGCATGTTGGGCAACATAGGAACACAAATGTCTGAAATTTAAGGTTGTCAGATTGCAATCTAGTTTGCCTGGTGTTTGTTGAGTCATTTTGGACTAGTCAGTTAGACTTGTCTATCAGAAGTATACGTTCAGAACATATTTCAGACAGATTTTAGTTTATGTGCTACAACAGCTTTGTAAGGCTAATTCTGTCACCTCTTGAATCTAGTCAGAGGAATCATACCAATATCAGATTACTTTAAATTTGTCAAGATTTTCTGTTGGGGTATAACATTTATGTAGAATAATGAGTACCCAACATAAAATATCTT